TAGAGACAGCTCAGTCTCCTCAGCAGGCCATGGGGGTTATTTGCTGAAATACAACCCTCATTATCTGAAAGGCTTGTTGGGTGTCTACCATAGGCCCCAGGACAATGTACTGAGTTCTCGTGTTCCTCATGTGTTGTCAGATAACTCTTCTAGTCCATCCTGTTAGGTTACACCCATTTTGAAGCTTTTGTAGCAGTAACAGCAAGTACCTACTATGTGCCAGGAGGAGGGCTGGGACAAGGGTGAGGCGAGCAAGCACCTAGGATATAAAACTTAAGGGCACAGCTGTTGCCAACCTTGTACTAACATGACCCCGAGAGACAGAGAGAGAGAGAGAGAGAGAGAGAGCCTTGTTGAATTTTACACCGCAGGCTCCTCCCCTTTCCTTGGTCCTGCCCTGACTGATTCTTCGAATCCATTTTCTCATATGTTTCTGTTACAACAGCCACATTTTACGGATGGGGAAAATCTGAAGCCCACGGTGGTTAAGAAACTTGCCCGGGGATCCCACAGCTGGTTCCAGTACACTGTTGTCTGACGCTGACCTTAACCTCCTTTACTCTTCCCACCGCCCTGAGACGTAATCGGTCACCCATAGTATTGGTTCAAGAGGGCCGATGGCTAAATTTCCAGGAATTCTGTGAGTCAGCCATTAAACATGGCTCTTATTAAATAGCAAACGAGACAACCATAAGTAATTAAATAAACTCGATCCGAAGCGAATGTAATAAGTCCCCCCAGCCCATCGCTTTCTAGTTCTGGTTCCCCAGGGTCGGGAGGGAGTCCTGGCTCCACCACGTAGCAGCTGTGTGACTTGGGCTGTTCTGCGAAAGCCATGCCCTGAGGAGCCCTCCGGAGAGTGGAAGGGCAGGGAACGAGGCCCTCGCATCCAAGTCCCAGCTTCGCTCCAGCGATCGGTGTCCGTTTTCTCATCCGCAGACTGGGAGCAACGGGCAGACGAGCACATTGTCACCGATGGCAGTGTCTGCGGGATCTGTCACATGCTGTTGAACACAGAGCTCTGGAACGCTGGCTGACCACTCATTATGTGCCAACCATTGTTCTAAGCCCCTTGCTTATATTTTCTTACTAGCGTTCCAGCAACCCACTGAGATAAGGATTGTTTTTCTCCCATTTTTAGATGGGGAAATAGCCTCGGCACAATGGAGTCCCTTCCCCAAGGTCACACAGCTGGTACGTGGCAAAGGCAGGAGTCCCTCTTGGACAATCCCTGGGACCTAGGAGTTGCTCAGTGAATGTTACTGATCAGCTCCCGCAGCCCCCCATCCGGGAGATGTCTTGGGCCCCAGTGCCATTTTCCCTGGCAGCCTCCAGGTCAAGTGTCAGAAAGCGTAAAGGCCCTTCAACTTTTCAGATGGTGGGTCCCAAAGCTGGCCGGACCCCCAGGCAGGCAAGGGGCAGAATCTTGCTGCTGCACCCAAACCCTCCTGTCCTCCCTGTCCGAGGGCACCTCGGCAGCTGCTGCTCTGGAGCAAAACATCCCTTCTCTTGAGGGCGGGAAGAGGCCAGCTCCTCCCTGAGCCGGCCCGGATGCCACTTCTTCCGGTCATTCTCCAGGGCGGATACATTGTGGGAATCAGCCACGCCGGCCACAAGGAAGAAAAACACCCGCTTCCCATACTCCCAGCACCAGTGGGGGGAAGCTCCAGGCTTGAGCTCCCTGAGACCTCTCCCTGGGTCCCAGCAGAAATCGGCTCCCTGCACTGGGGAGTCCGTAGCCCACAGGGCCCGAAGGGGCTGACGGCCGAGGCTGAGGAGGCAGTGGGCCCCAGTGAAGGACCTTGGCTCTGTGTACCAGGCAAGCCTGGGTTTGAATCTCGCCTCTGCCTCTTATGAGCTGGGTGTCCTCAGCTAACTTTTCTGAACTTCAGTTTTTCCTTCTGCAAAATGGGAGAATACCCAACTTATGGCGTCTTACAGAGTTGTGGTTAAAAGCCAAAGAAATGTGTACAAAGCACCTAAGACACAAATGGTGGAAGGAATGGAATACATGGGAAGTGAATGAATACTCATAGCCGTTGTGTGCCGGGCGGTGCGCTAGGCAAGGGAGGGCCCTGCAGAGGCAGAGAAACAAACCGAGAGAGAAGGTGCCATGGTGGCAGGGTGGGGGAAGAGCAGGGAACATTAGGCCCCGTCCAGACGCTCCCTGAGTTATTCCTGAGACCTACTATGTGCCCGTGGGGATTATGGGGGATGCAGCTATGCACATAGCCCAGCCCTTCCCTCTCAGACACGACACTGACATGCACAGAAAATTAAATGACAGCACAGGTGATGAAAGCCTTAGAGACTGGGGCACCCGGCTGGCTCAGTCGGAGGAGCGTGCGATGCTTGATCTTGGAGTTGTGAGTTCGAGCCCCACGTTGGGTGTAGAGATTACTTGGGAAAATTAAATAAATGAGAAAAGCCTGAGAGACCAAGGTGCAAGGAATCAGAGAGTGAGAAATGTGGTGCTTGACCACCTGAGAGGGACGGGCAACAGGGAGGACCCTTGTTCAGACTTGCACTGGAGACCTGCAGGTGAGGGGCTTCCGGGGAGGCCTGAGTTTTTCTCCATTTGGTTTAACAAGGTGCAGGACAGAGGATGGGCCTGGCCAGAGCTTGCTTTCCTCTGCCCCAGCGGTCCTTCCCCCAGCGCCCCCTCTCTGCCTCCACTGCTTGGGCCCAGGGCTGAAGCACCATAGGAGCTGTCTCTATGGGACCTCGAAGCCAAGCTGGGAGCCTGCCTTGCTAGAGTGTCCCCACTCACGTGCCGCAGGAGCGCTGGTGCCATGCAGGGAGAGGGAGCGTGGAAGCTCAGGAAACAAAGCCAGTTCTTAAGTCCCTCGTGGGCTGGGGGGATTGGGATCGGAGCTGGCCCTTTGTCACTGATCTATTTCTCCCTCTTTGGCTTCCTCTTGTGCAACTTAGTCTCGGCTGAGTCAGGCGGACCTTCCTGGGTTGAAGAGACAGTTCCAGAAAGAGTATGGAGGCAAGTCAGAAGATGAGGCCCTCCCCAAACTTCCCAGGTGGGGCTCCTGCAAGGCCCCGGCAGGCATGGCCACCTTGCTTCCTTGGAGGCCTGGGTGTGTTCCTGCGACTCCCCTGCCCTCCCTTCGTGTGAGGTGAGTCTCTCTTACAGCACATTGTCTGCCGTGACAGCATGTTGGTGTCGGGGGACACAGCCTCTTGGTATGTGTGCCCTTATGCTTTACCAAGAGGCCGCTTTCTCCCCACCCAGTAACGATGAACCCGTAAGAAGCAATAAAGGAGACAGCATGGGGATAGCCCACTCCATGCTCCATGCCCACATGACATTAAAAAGGGATCTGTTTTTAAAATTAGGGGAGCAGATGAAAAGCCCAGTCCACTTAATCATGCGGGGTGAGGGGCCGTCCTGTCTCTGTGCTTGCCAAGCTCACACCTGTGTCGGCGGGAGCACTGTTCTGTGGCCCCTACAGGGGTGTGTTTCCCCCAAGTGCATTTTCATGTTACAGATCACATTACCCTCCGAGAAGGTGATTCTTTTTGGAAGAAATAGGCTGTTTCTCTGCTCCTTATGTGGGGGATGGGAAGGGAGGTAGTAAGGACTGGTGATTACAAGAGTGGGCTCTGGGGGCGCCTGGGTGGCTCAGTGGGTTCAGTGTCTGCCTTCAGGGTCCTGGGATCGAGCCCTGCATTGGGCTCCAGCCCCGCATTGGGCTCCCTGCTCGGTGGGGAGCCTGCTTCTCCCTCCCCCCACTTCCTGCTCCTGCTTTCTTTCGCTATCTCACTCTCTCTCAATTAAATAAATAAAATCTTTTTTTTTTTTTTTAAAGATTTTATTTATTTTTTAGAGAGCGAGCGAGAGAGAAACAGCATGAGAGGGGAGAGGGTCAGAGAGAGAAGCAGGCTCTCCGCTGAGCCGGGAGCCCGATGCGGGGCTCGATCCCAGGACCCTGGGATCATGACCTGAGCCGAAGGCAGACGCTTAACCATCTGAGCCACCCAGGCGCCCTTAAATAAATAAAATCTTAAAAAAAAACCCCAAACCCCCCAAAACCAAAAAGAAACCAAGAGTGGTCTGGGAAGCTGGAAAGCCAGGTGTTTTGATCTGGACTTCGCCCTGTTACTCCTTGTATAACCTTGGGGAAGGCACTTGACCTCTTGGAGCCTCAGTAGCCTCATCATTGCAGATCCTAAGAGTGAATGTCCTCGCAGAGAGCTTGTGGGCATTAGGTGAGGTCATGTGGGAGTGATGGAGCAGGAGGTCTGTGTGGGGGCCTCGGGGCCGCTTCTTGCTGTGTGTGACTCTGGAAAAAGCACCAGCCTCCTGAGGTTTGCTCACGTCTGCAGTGGGGTTTACACGTCTGACGTGTGAGTTAGTGGAGGGTCAGATGAGGTCTCTGCACGATGAGGAGCAGGAGGTAAGTGCTCAGTAAACACGGGCCTGTGACAGGCTGGTATGACGGGGTGGGGAAAGGACAGGAAGATGACATCCTTTCCCACTTGGCTCTTTCTGTGTTTCTCTTAGGAAGCCCGGTCCTGGGGCCTGGGGTGGTGAGCAGCCAGCCCCCTCCACCCCCCGGGGGGCACCCTCCCTGCTCCTTTCTTGAACGGGCCTGGCCATCAGTGGCGCTAGGTGGGTCCACGCCCTCGGCCACGACAGAACCACGCTCATTTTGCAGCTTCCTCCGTGTGGAGGCTTAAATTCAATGGCTCCGGGAGTGCGGGGCCACCTCCTCCCATGACCTGGCCATGTTTTAATTCCTAACCATCTTCACTAACCCAGAACACTTGGGATTCTCTTGTCTCCAGCAGAACCCCAAACACCTCCCACCCCCTTGTTGGTATAGTGGTTAATTAAGTGTCTGTCAGTCACAGAATCCAGAGGCAGATATCAGATGACTGTTCACTCAGCCTTTTCCCAAAAGGCCCATCTGGGCTGGTTTCTTCAGCTCAGCAACATCGGCGCTCCTCGACCACCTGTCTTCTTGGCCACTAACGGTGATGGCCCTGGGGCTGGTGAGCAGCTGTTGTCCATCTCCTGGAGCCAAGCGGGGAGCTCAGGCTGCAGTAGACAGCCATATCTGGTAGAGGCCAAAGGGAAACGGCCTGCTGATTATTGGGCTGCCGTGAAAACTTCACCCTGGAGGTCTTTCACAAACAGGATAGAGTTTCATCTTTCTGGAATGTGTTAGAGCAGCAAGACCTACCCGACCTCTCTGCCCAGGTGAAATTCATCTTCCATGAAGGACTGGGCCCCACGTCTGAGCTGCACAGACCTACATAGACCTCCACGGATAGAACATAGAGCCCCATCCATGGTTGCTAAGGCCTTGAACGACTATCTTTCTCCAGGTATGTGTTTATTTCTTTAACTCCCTTGAAGGTGAGGATTATGTCCCACGTGATAGCCACACATCACTTAGCATGGCGCTGGATATTTCTCAAGCATCCACTGAGGCCCTGTGGTAGTTAGGCGGCTGCCCCTAAGAGGGGAGCAGAGCTTCGGAGGATGGCTCACTGCATTGGTAGGTTTTGAAGAAGCCAAGGAGGGCTGGAGTTTGGGGTGCTGCCTAAGGAAAGTGGGCTCCACAGTGGGGCAGGGCAGTGGGGCTCAGTGCTGGGGACAGCCAGAGAAGGTAGTAACCTGGGGAGAAAGGGCTGGAGCCTAAAGACAAGAAAGACAATCAACGGCCTTCAGAGCTTTGTTGAGAACCATCCCTGGAACCCCCCACATGGTGCCTCTCTTTGTGTCAGCGTGGGGTTCAGACCTGGTGACTGCTGACCTCCAGCTGGACGGGAAGGAGAAGTGCAAATGGGATGTGGTTTCAGGATAAATGGGGCCTCGGGTGGGCAGAGCCTCCAGGCCAGGAGTTTTACAGGGAGACAGGAACTCAGAATGCCCCAGACAGCAGGGCTTCCTGCAAGCCTGGGGATGTGGCCGTGCCCTGTGTCCTTAAGGAGGGATGGAGGCCTGGGGTTGACTGACCTGGGCTGACCCCTGGGGTGAAGGGGAGAATGAATAACAATGGTGGCCATAGCAATGCTTCACACACAAGTGTGGGGTTTCACAGTTTTCAGAGGGCTTTTGCACCTGTTAGCTCAGGAACAGGGAGAGGGGGGAGAATTTCAGGTGCCTCTACCCCATCTATTCCAGGAGGGCCTTAACCCTGACCCTCGCATTTCTCCTCCCACTTTCTGGGACAGAGCACTTGTACTGGGATGTGCCGATCTGGAGCAGGGTGAGAGCAGGGACAGGCTCTGCACCTTGGGGCAGCCCTGCCTCCTCTCCCTTAATCCGGCCCCTCCTCCTTCCCAGAGGTGTGATCCCACACCTGGCTCACCTGGGTTCCCAGGAAGGCCAGGGAGGCGGAACCCCTCTTTCTATGTCTCCCAGAAGGGAGGAGCTCTGGGCTAGGAGCTTCTAGTACCTTATTGGCATCACAATAATCCGTTTCTTTCCTCACCTGTTCTTCCTACTGGGCACACCCCTGGCCTCTCCGTCTTGCTCTGCCAGTGGCTCTGTGGGCCTGCCGGCCCCAAGGTCAGAACCCGTTTCCCACACTGACTCAGATCTCAGCCTCCTTCCTGACAGATGGCACATGGGGCAGCCCCAATCCTGGCCTTGGTAAATGCCCCGATATTCCTCCACCAGCACACGAATCTTTCCAACTTAGGGATTCTAGCTTCAGAAACTTCACCCAGCATCTGCAGGCCCGCCCTGGGCTGGCAAGGGATGTAACAGAGTCAGAGGAAAGGTATACAGAAGCCCAGAAGACACATGTTTTTGACAAGAAACAGGGGCATGTATCAAAGAACAGGAATGGAGGGCCACAGGGGAGAACTGCCTCTCTCGGAGCGATGGGACAAAGGGGCCAACACGAGGCACTGTGAACTTCGTTGAGTGTAGGGTGAAGAAGGGGAAAGTCGGCTGGGCCCAGATGAGCAGATCTGGTCTGGCTACATGGAAAGCACAAATAAGTTTGTTGTATATGATTCTGAACTAACCAGAGTGGCAGATCAGGACATGGATGTAGTTTTTGAATGTCCAGTGGCCTCACCTAGAATTTTCAGGCTAGGACATAAAAGTGTGAGTTAGATGGTCCCACCTATTTAAAAAAATATCTTATTGCAACCCAGATCCACAAGACGTTGTCCCTTAGGAGTCACAAAAAGAAGTATGGGGTACTGTGAATGTAACAGTCAAGCATAATAAGTATTTATTCATTCATTCATTCATTCATTCATTCATTCATTCATTCATTCATTTAGAGTGTGTGAATGGGTAGGAGGGACAGACGGGGAGGGAGACAGAGAATCTTAAGCAGCCTCCACGTTCAGCACGGAGCCTGACACGGAGCCCAAAATGGGGCTCGACAGGGGGCTCGATCTCACGACCCTGAGATCATGACCTGAGCCAAAATCAAGAGTCGGGCGCTTAACTGACTGAGCCACCCAGGCGCCCCACGCATAATGAGAAGTCTTATGTGGAGGGCTGCGCCGCACAGGAAGAGTGGTAGAAGGTACTGCAGTCTGGAGAGTTTGATGTCATCCACTGGAATCAGGTGATCATTTCCCCAATGAGAGTCAGTGGGGAACTAGAAGAAAAGCATACAGTCAGCTTGGCTGGGACACAACTAGTGTGCAGAAACAGAGTCGGGGTATGTGCGGTTACGCTGTGGTAATAACCACAAAATCTGGGTGGCTCGTGATAACAAAGGTTATTTTTCATTTGTACCACATGTCTGTTGTGTGTTGGCTGTAGGTCTGCTCAGTGGTTTTCACTCCTGGGCTGATGGACAAACATTGGGACTTTTTGATCTGGGATTCTGACGGTTTCATAGCAGAGGGAAAAGAGACATGATGAATCACTTACTGATCCTCGAAACTTCTGTCTGGAAGTGACACCTGTCACTTCTGCTCATATTTCATTGGCCAATGTGAGTCATATGGCCTAGCCTAACCTCTCCTGGGAGAGCAAAGGATAATTCTCCTCTAATGAACAATAATAAATTGACCTCAAAAAAGTCCTAAAAGTCAGTTTCTGCTTTAGGCCATAACTGGGGTCCACCTCACTAATTCTTGTGAGATGTAGAGACCTCAGAATTTAGTTGTGGACAATTGTCTTAGGATGGAGTTATAGACCCGTTGCAGGAGTAGAAGCTCCCAGGAGGGACAAGTGTATTTCATTCACTGGTATATCCCAAAGGCTAAGAACACGCCCCTCAACATATCTTTATTGCCGAATGAATTATACATAGGTTCAAGACGCAATATGACCCTCCCTGCCTCAGCCAAGGAGTATCTGTGTCCCATGTACTGACTTCTTTGGGTGTGGAGATAAACACACTCAGAGAACCTGTGTCTCTCTGATGGATCCAGATGAGTTGGGGCTTCACCTTCTGCTTTGGGATGCTGTGTGTCCAGCCCAAGAGTCAGCAAACTTTTTCTGGAAAGGGCAGATATTAAATATTTCAGGCTTTGCACGCCATATCATACGGTCTCTGTCACAACTACGCAAGTCTCTTGTGGGGCAAAGCAGCCATCGACTGTATGTCAATGATCGAGGGTGGCTCTGTTCCAAGAAAACTTTATTTGCAAAGCCAGGCAGTGGGCCAGAATCGGCTGGGGGCGGTAGTTCGCCTACCCCTAATCTAGCCACGAAGCTGGCTTCTCAAGCTTTGCTTTCCCCCGGGGGCGGGGGGGAGTCCTTTTCAGGACCATGTTAGCATACATTTATCACTCTCATCTGCATAAAATGAAGTGCCATGAAATTGTAGTTTTGAAACGTCCTGATGTCTGGTTGGGGGTGTTTAGGGCTTCGGTTTATTTTCGTCCAGGGAGGCAGGTCCATCCCCAAACACCCTGATCTGGCCAGGTTTTGGCTCTCGCTGTGCTGTTGTAACTCCCAGGTGCTCCCCTCCCTCGGTATCCCCATCTGCCTTGCCTTTGGGGCATGCATCCACTCTCCCCATTTCACTTGCTCCAGGGACCCCCCAGACTGCCATGGGGGGAAGGGAAGGGCACATGGCTGGCTGAGGAGGAGGAGCTCGCCCCTCTCCTCACAGTTCAGTTGGTCTGAGAAGTACAGAAATCTATTTTCTTAGGGATGTGGCTCAGATATTTTCATTTCATGGAACCTGATGCCTCAGAATCACAGATTTTTTTTCAGGCCAGAATGCCTCTGGTATGATGTGACAGTCTGGAGGGTAATTAGCAGCCACCCCTTCTTTCTGGGTCAGTAGCAGGCTTATGTAATTAGAAGTCCGAAGACGAGATGGGGAGAAAGACTCACCCCGGCCAACAACCTTCCCCGCCGCAGCCTTCTAGCTGGTTGTCACAGAATTCTAGAGCAGGAAGAGACCTTATACCTGACGACCTCTCCTCCACCTGGCCCCAACTGGACATTTGAACATCATGAGGACCAAAATGCAACCCTCTTGTCCTAGGTATCAAAGGTGGGGCTTCAGACCCCATGGACACTCCACATCCTATCCTTCAGCTAACTTCCAGACTGCTGCCCGCCCCCGCTCCCCATCTCCTCCAACAAGATAAACACATCTGTGACCCCATCCTGAGGGGACCTGGGGGAAGGAAGGAGGGAGGAGGGAGCCTCCCCAGTGCAGACAGAGACTCGGCCTTGACTTGCGTTGTTATGATAGGACCTGCCTCTCTTCTCCAGCTGGTGGGAGCACTGACCCCAGGGAGCTCAAGTCCTGGGGGAGGAGAAGCTGGTCAGGGAGAAAAGATAAGGGACAGAGGGGAGGAGTCTGGCCAGCTCCCACCTCCTGGTTGCTGTTCCAACCAAGTTGCTGAGCTGGAGAAAGAAAACTGATAACAGATAAGGATGCTTGCTTTCCTGTGGCCTTGTTTACCTAAGCTTGGGTTCTTGCTGGTCCCTGGGGGTGGGGTGAAAGAGCTTTGTGGGTGGAAGGCAGTGCGGGGTTCCTGGACTGAGACTTGCTTTCAGCTGCCTGAGGTCTGGGTGGCATACAGATCTTCTCTTACCTCCCAGCCCCATCCCAGACTTCCTGTAAGAAGCCAGCTAGACAATGGCTTGACCTGAAATACGAGGCTCTCCACACTTGGAGTAGGGCCTTTCACCCCAAAAGCAGTGGGCTTGGTGACTCTGCCTCTCACCTGGCCTCCTGGGTGTCTGAGCACCTCGGTAAAGATCTCCAGCCCCAGGAAGCCTTATGGTAACCTGCTTGAGCTAATCCAAATATTCCCTACCTTGTTTTTTCTGCACTGCATTCCTCAGCCATCCTGAAGAAATGGAGTCTGAACTGAACTATTATCTGAGGAGCTGAAAACCATCAAAGAGCAGTTGCTATGTGCTAGGGAATAGGCACAGA